CAAAGCACTCCTCATGGTAGGGTGATAAAATACGCAAAGAGATGCAACATCTCTTCGCAGTGACAATGAGTCAAGCCAATCGGAAAGAGCTCGGTCGCCAACGATTTGAACCGCTCTGCGCTGGATGTGATGAAATTAAAGGAGTAAGCACTGGGGAGCCCCGGCCCAGAGATGGGAACAGTATTCCATGTGCGGTCGAGCTTGTGCCTTGTAAAGTTGCAGGCGGTGAACCAGTATAAAATACTGTCCCGCTCTGCTGAGCACGCCAAGCTTTTTAGAGGCCAATTTGGTCTTCTCTTCCAATCTTCCAAGTGATCACGAAACTGCACATCACTCGATATGTCGACGCCGAGGATTCCGATACTGTCTGAGGCAACAAGGGGAGCGCCTTGAAACGACGAAGACGATGAGATATGACGAAGGGGTTCTTTTTAGCGGTAAAAGCTCAAACTTGTGTCTTCTGAGGGTTATACTGAACTGGATTTAGTCGCCCCCAGTCCGAGACTTTGTTCCACAACGTTTCAACTTCAGACACAAGTTTATCCCGGTACACTGTGACGTTTTCCCGAGAAATATTGGCACGGCCGGTGTATAAAGCATCACCAGTGCTGTCGTCTGCATAGCAATGAATGTTACCGGTTTGCAACATGTCCTTGATATACAGAAGAAATAGCGTTGGTGATATCACGCAGCCTTGTGGAACACCAGCATTGATGGGCTTGAAATAGGAGCATGCACCGTCTACTACGAACTTGATGCTCCAATCAGCAAGAAAACTGGTGATCCAATTGCACAATTTCTTGGGAAGCCCATAGGAAGGAAGCTTCATAAGAAAACCTTTGTGCCAAACCCGATAGAAGGTGTAAGTGTGTATGGAGGGTCTGATAAAATAAAAGTCTATTTTCACACTTATATTTTTTATTGCGCTGGGCACACAGTAATGACAGTCTAACAACAGCACAATACAGAAGGTACAAATGAAAAGATTGGAACACAGTAATACACGGAAAGAAGAATTTAACGGTACAAACTGCGTAAGCGTGCAACGCGGAAGCGGACGAACTGGTGATCTCGTCCCGAAGGCGCGTGCCCAGCGACCGAACTAGTTTTACATTCTTCATTATGCAAATACATAAAAATGCATGGCGCGTGTCTGCTTGTACATAATTTAATTTATCTACATATATAACTTATCAATTTATCAATTAAATTTTACAAAATTTAGACATTTTTATTAACAATCGTATCATTAACAATTAACAAAACATACATTAATAATAGCTCAAAATTTATGTATAAAATATGAATATTTTTCAACTTTCAACATATAAAATATAAAACTCGCCACATCACCCCCCTACCAGAGGTCTTGTTAAGGACGATTATAGTCAGGAAATTGCAGCCTACGACCTGATCCAGTTCTGACAATGTTTCTTTCTGGGTGTGGAGGAGTGTGTCGGTTGTTCAAAATATGTTTACTTTGTGTGTGTGGTTCTATGTGTGATTGTAAGCTTGACTGTGTTTGTTCAGGTTTGTCTGTAGGTTGCAGCACATAGGCAGGATTAATTTGGTCTATTGAAATCGAGATTTTATTACCATTCACTATTAATTTAAAAATTTTGTCTCCTCTTTTTACTACTTCATATGGGCCCGTGAAAGCTGGTTTTAAGGAACTACCTATGGTGTCGTCCCTAACAAAGACATGGGTCGCTGTAGCCAGATCTTTAAAAACGAATATGGGTCGTTTTTCCTACCATGATGTGAGGTAGAGGATGGTTACAATTCTTTGACAAAATTGCGAAGACGAGATAAGCAGTCTGTTACGTCGATGATGTCTTCGATCTGTGGGGCAAATAATTCGCCTGGGAGGCGTAAGGGTTGCCCATACACTAACTCCGCAGATGATGATGATGATAACGCCTTGATGTCTTCCTTAAAAGAACTTCGAATCCCTAATAGGTCGAGTGGAAGGCAGTCAACCCAGTTTTCACTCGCATGACAGACGATAGCAGCCTTGAACTGTCGGTGAAATCGCTCCACTAATACATTGCATGCAGGGTAGTACGCTGTTGTTCGTCTATGCTTAAATCCTGCGATATCAAATAGGCGCTTAAAGAGAGCAAATTCGAATTGTCTACCACGATCTTAAACTATATATATCGGCCAACCATCCAACCACTTAGCAAAACTTTAGCCACGGTCTCAGCTGTTATATCAGGCAGTGGTATCGCCTCAGGCCATCGCGTGAAGCGGTCAATGGCTGTAAGGCAATAGCGATAGCCTTGGAATATAGGTAGAGGCCCGACTAAGTCAATATGCAAAAACGCGAATCTTAACTTTGGCAAGGAGTAGTTACCGGTGGGTGCAGATACGTGACGTGTGACTTTGGCTCGCTGGCATTGCAGACAGGCACGTGCCCACTCTGGGCAATCTTTGCGCACTCCTTAGCTATGTCAAACTAATGGCCAGCGCCTCCCTCTTGCTGGACTTTGCTGCCTCCGTCCATTTATGAATTAAGTAACCCAGAAGATCACCAGCCGAGCGGCCACGACCAAAACCGTACTGGCGGTCGCTAATCAGCTGGCGATCTTCAAGGTACCGCATGAGCTGGCTGTTAATAAAGGACTCCATTGTTTTAGACAACAAAGAGGTGATGGCGATAGGCCTATAGTTGGACGGATCAGAGCGGTTACCTTTTTTAAGTATAGCGTGCACGAGGGCTGTCTTCCATGATTTCGGGACTACGCCGAGGGAGTAGGAGTATCGGAAAAGACGCGTTAAAACCGGTGCCAACTCCGAAGCACACGTCTTCAGCACAGTAGGAGGGACTCAATCCGGCTTACTCGTCTTGTCGACGTCCAGGGAGAGGAGTGCTCTGCGCACTGAGCGTTGGGTATACAGGATACCCCGCATGGAGTACTCACTCCGCGGGATAGTCGGCGGTGTATTCCCCCCGCCATCAAGAGTCGAGATGGACGCAAAGAGAAAGCTCAGCAGATCAGCTTTGTCCTTTGCGGCATGCGCCAGTGAGTCATCCTCCCTGTGCAGAGATGGGAGAGATGGCTGATAGAAGTTCCCTTGGACAGCCTTGGCGAGAGACCAGAATGCACGAGTTCCCGAAGGAAGACGAACTATTTTGCCAGTGATGTGCTCTGACTTGCGCATATATAGTATAAATAGTATTTATTTTTAAGAGCACTGGTATAGCCTCCCGAGACCTCGATACGCGAACCCACACCTGTTAGCACTCCTGCTTATGACGTAGTGCAATTTCACAGGAGCGACCAAACCAAGGCTGGGTTCTGCCTCCGATATATACCACAGATGGTGGAGTAAAAAGTTCCATTCCCTGTCAGCAACAACGCTGGAATCATCCGGCGAGAAGCAAACCCACCACCAAAGATAGGATGCAAAAAAAGATCGCATTCCGTCCCAATCTGCTGACCTATAATGCTAAACACGGTGGCAACCTGTACTACTCAACCGCGATGAGTGCGTGAGTGGTACCGTACTCCGGATCAGACAATTGTCCGAGGAGCCAAGAGGGGCATCGACGGAGACCTGATATCCGTCCGGATGAGAGGTCAGCAGAATGTCGAACAGGGAAAGTACATGGTCTTTCACATCTAGGATCCGCGTTGGCAAGGTAACCAGTTGTATCAGACCATATGCCAAAGCAAAGTCTTAAATAGATCTATCCGCATGATAGGTTAAACCAAGCCATTCAGCGCGAGGGCGTTAAAATCACCAAGTATCACGATCTCCGCAGATGGGATCTGTTGTAGTACGGAGTCTGTAGCCATCTTGACGTGCTCGACGAGTCGGTCTGTTTCAGCATTATCACTATGGGACTTATAGAGGCACCGTAGACGCGGGTATGGTCGTCGCTGTCTAAGTCTAAGCGCAGCCACAAGATGGACAGGTTCGTACCTTCAAGACTGCTGAGGCGTCGAAAACAGATGTCCTCTCTGACGTACTCGCAAACTCCAGCCCGGGGGCGCAATGGAGTGTTCTAATTTGTAGCCCAGGTAGGGGAGATATGAAGTTATCAGCTGGAGAAGACACCTGTGTCTCGGTTAGAAAGAGCAAGGCCTGGATTCGCCGTCCAGATAGTAGTGGACGGCGTCAAGCTTTGAATGGGGTTCCCTGATGTTGCAGAAATTAACGGATAGCGTGGCAGGGGGCGTAGACTTACTGCTCCGTTTGTCCCCAACAGGTTTGGTCTCGAGCGAAATTTTGCCCCCCCCCCCTCAGTATACGCGTGGCAGCCTGAGCACCCACGCTCAGGTGTGGAGTAGCTTGGTCGTGGACGCTCAGCGAGGTATTCTCCAGGGGGGCTGTTACCCTCCTGGGTCTTGCATTTAATTTCGCTACCACGTTATTGGAGAGGGGGGATTGGGCCTTCGGTCACCTGCACTCACCAGACGAAACGCAGAAGCAAAGCCTCTACATCACGTTGATCTTCTGTGAGGTCGAGGTACCACCCCGGTTTGAGTCAGGACGTGCGTGCGACAGCAAAGGCTGCTGCTTGGCTCTACCACTATTAAATTGTGTGCCATAAGAGTATATTTTATAACAACCCCCTTTGAAATAACTTTTTCCGTTTAAAGTTGATTTAATAAAAAACATTTTAGTCAAAATATTTGTCACAAATATAATATCTGTGCATATATATGTTATATTGTTCTAAGGTGCATAATCATAAGCATCTATTTAAATCGCAGACGATAATAACAGCATAAATTCCCAAGATAAATTGACTTCATTTTAAATCAATTAATAATATATTATTTGAACTCATATAAGATTTAATTTTGTCAGGTGACAACACAACTCCTAAAGTCAACTCGGCTGTCAATGAAGTTCCGGAAATCGATGTTGTCCGCTTGTATTTTTGTGAAAAAAGCCAACAATTCGGATAATGAAAGCAAAAAACGCTGCTGTAAATGGTAGCTCACAAGTGGTTGAATCAAACTGAATTGAAATAGATTATATTTACAATGAGTACCTCAGATTTGGACAGCCGTAACATCGCGATTTCCATGTTAGTATTCCTATTTACTTTATTATTGTTAAGAACTATTGTTTGTTCATGTGTATTCGAGGATTAGTATAATTGTATGTGTATTGTAACGCTAATAAATTAGTCTTATCTTCCTTCACACTGCATAATTAACTTATTTGCCACAGTTGTTCTATTAGATATGTATATATTATCGCAAACTATATATTTGTCTTAGGATAGAATTCACGTTTAATACCAATTAGATAAAGTAAATACTTTTTTATCAGTCCGCCCACTGCTGGACATGGACCTCTCCCAACGGAGGATTTGCTGTTATTGTCATGCTTGGCAATCAGATTTGCAATTGCAGTGTCAAACATCTTCCACCTTGGTTTATACTATCTATTGCCAGTCTGGATATTTTACATCTGGTGTAAACAAGATGGTATACCATCATCTATCAATAGTCATAAGATTTTTATGACATCATTTATAACAGCTTCTTTCACCAAACCTAAAATTAAATTTTTAGTAAAGGAAAGTTTCTAGGGCAGAATTATGTGGGCACAAGTAGTTGTTAGTTTATTTGGTAAACGAGAGTTGCTATATATAAACATGCATACTTGGATTACGATTATTATGGAAGTAAAAGATACATTAATGCAAAGTTGATATTCCTGTGCCAGAAAAAATGCTTTTATTTAAATTGGGAAACAAAGCTTTTTATTTGTCATAAAATACCTCCCGAGAAACTAAAAATAATGGATTTCTTTAACTTATATATTATTTTACGTTTATAGATTAATATACTTTTAACATCTCATGGTACTATTTGTTTTACTTCATTAAAAAAAAAACCCATATATTATCTGTACTATAATTTGAATGCTCCATGAATCCGAATGGAGGGTAAATTTTCAGAGTTCAGATTAAAGAGGTCTTGCTGTATAACTAAATTTAAATTTCTTAGCTACAGTTAATTTATAGTCTGACTTAATTTTAGGAGAAAATCAGTGGAAAATCTTGTTGTCTCATCCCAAGATGCCATCGGACAGAGCATCAGCCAAGCACTCAACTTCTCTGGAGCCATCAGTGCTCCACACAGCATTGTACAGGATAACAAGTAAGTGAAACTTATACATATTTATTCATAACCATCGAGATAAATAAATAGAGTAAAAGTCTATATATATAAAACTGTCATTGACAACTCTTGTCTAATACATGCAGCAACTAACAATTTTATTAGTGCCGGTGGGGATCCAACCTGGATTGCTAGCGTACTGTACAATTTACAGCTAGCGCTAACCACCTAAGATACCATGGGTCATGCACAGCTTTATGGCCATTAATACTTTTAAAAATGTGTCCCGTAAGTCGCTCTTCTGCAACGCACATACACAGCTACAGTTGTAGAATGTTGCTTCACTGTATCGTCGCAATAACCCAGTGTGTGTAGAGATACCATATGTCAGGATTTGTCCTAACATGTCAGGACTTTTGGGCTCTTGTCAGGATTGCGGGTGGGTTTTAGAAATTTAAATAACACGAGCATGTGGCCCACATGTGATGGAGTTGACCACCGCGCATGAATAAATGCAACACCAGAGGAATTGCAGGTGCGTTGTTAGCCTTTTAAAAAAGAGTGGGTTCTTTTTTTGAAGGTCCTTAAGTTGTATCGTCTGTAAAAATCGCTAGTGGTTGTCGATTCCACAAGAAAGTAGTGCAAGGAAGAAAACTTCTTGAAAACTTCTTGTAAATCGCACAGTAGTAGGCTGCCGATCATTTAGATGTTATGGATGGTATCACGAGTTTTGTCGCGATGTGCGATGGTAAAATTGAGCACCTGGAATTACTTCGATCAATCCTTCAAAGGAATACTGTATTTCATTGAAAAATTAGGATTTTTCGATTTTTCAATGAAATACAGTAGGTTTTTGCGTGGGAGTGGTTAAATCTGTAACATGGATTGAGAATGCACAAAACCAATGACAAATTTTTTCACCCTTGATGACGCTGTAATGATGATGATGTAAAGTAAAGTTACATCCTATATACGTCCCACTGCTGGGCACAGGCCTAATCTCATTTCTGAGAGGGTTTTAGGTGAAGGAATAGTCCGCCGCGCTGCCCCAATGCGTGTTGGAGAACTTCACATGTCTTCGAAATTTTTTTTTCTTATTTCTCAGACATGCAGGTTTCCTCACGATGTTTTCCTTCACCGCCGAGCACGTGGTAAAGCAGCACTTAAAATTGCAATTAACAATTTCATTGGTGCCGGCGGGAATCGCACCCGGTTTGCTCGGGTATTGTGAAATTTACAGCGAGCGCTAACCATCTGAGCTAACACGGCTCTTGATGATTGATTGTGATAACGTTAAATTAAATAATGATGATGATGATGATAACGTTAAATATTTATTTCCGAGTGAGAATGACACCTTAAATTCTTAATTTACTCACAAGTAAAGATACCTACCTAACTTAATAAATACCATAGGTTGGGTTTACACCAAAGACTTCTACGAGGGTGACACTGAAAATTCTTAGAAAATGAAAAACTTAACAAACTAGCAAGTTATTAGTTTTATTATATCTTTTCAAAATAGTGTCCATTTTCATAGATGAATTCCTCTGAAACGCTTAAACGCTGCATCCGATGAAACTACTGAGAAAAGCACTTTGCCCACTCGTCCTTAGGGGTCTTTTCGACGACATTTTGAAACGCTGGCACTGCTTCCTCGGTGTCCATAAAACATTTTCGTCTAAGTTTTTCTTTTATTTTCGGAAATAAAAATCGTAAGGTGCGAGGTTAGGGCTATAGGGAGGGTGTCCCAGTAATTCCACGACTGACATCGCCAAGTGGTCGATTGTTTGCAATGCGTTGTGCGACGAAGCGTTGTTATGGTGAAGGAGGATCCTACTGCGAGGTCGTTTCTCTCTCTGCAGTAACTGTTTTTCGATCCTCTAAAACAATTCTTGCGAAATGACCTGTCCTTCCGAAGAACGAGGCCACCATCTTTGTTCCCACGCTTCGACCTCTCGTCAGCTTAGTTGACAACTCCTCGGAAGGATTTTCTTGTTAATATAAATGACATCGAAAGTCATAAAAAATCGTTGTACGTTAATTTCATGCTGACTTGACACAATTTTTAATTTGCCGCCAAATCGTAAACAAATGACAAATTAGTTAAATACGTACACAATAATATTGGCAAAGAGTTCCATTTTCAAAATTTGAACTTATTTTTTTATTATATCCTTTACAAGTGGCCAGTTCTAAAAACTTTCAGTGTCGCCCTCGTATGTGTACTGCTACACTGGCAATTCAGAACAAAAACTGTGTCATAACTGTGTATCGCGCGAGCACGGTATATATGCTACGTAGTTGTATTTTCATTTACGACAGTTACAGTTTTTAGGCAATTAATCAATAAAATTAAGTAAATATTTATCGGAAACAAACTAAATCACGTTAACAAAGTGTACATATAAATAATGACAAAGTTTTCTTTCTTATCAGTGTTAGATTGTCGTAAACAACCTTCTCGGTTTTACAACACAAAGAACTGGCGTTCTCGGTCGCTTGAAGTCGACGAGGAGTTACGGAGAATTAACCATAACTTAGTGCGCAATGTACTAAGGCCGCAGAGCAGGTCTAGTAGCACATTAGAAGTATTTGGTTTACGCTTTCAATATTATGGACAATACAGTAAATATTGACAATAATATAGAACGTATAAATCATCTATCATCGATCAATAATTAATAATGCAGAAGAGTTGACAACATTGAGGGACTAAGCTGGAATTGCCTCCGTACCAGTTAAAAGGAACTCCGGTTATTGTCAGTCATCACTCATCATCGTACGAAGCACAGGAGCAATTTCTCGCTATTTACTATACGTATACGTATACTGTGCGAGTGTAGTCCTTTTCCCCGGTGGAGCTAAGGCAGACATAAAACGCTTAAGCTTGGCTCTGCCACGAACATAGTGTTTTGTACATACATATACATATAGACATAGTTTTACTGGCATCAATACACTCACGTGGAATACATTAAGAAGTAAACAGAAAACATACAAAATAAGGGAAACATTAAAAAATATGTTTAAATGAAAATTAACTCCTTCACCAAGGTTTGCTTGGAAGAGATCGCAGTTTAGTTTTTTTTTTTCGATAAGGCCACCTAGTTGCGTAATATGTTGAGTAAGTGTGCAATAAAGAGTATAATGATTATAATAATTACATCCTAAAGGATGGCACCGTCGATATCTGTCGAGCTTGTCGCCATCCTGGTGAATCGTTTAGGCATGTCATCTCCGGTTGTTCGGCGTTTTCTAACTCTGAGTAGATACTTGCACAGGCACAACCTAGTAGCCAGAATTCTTCACTATGAGCTCGCTCTAAAATACGGTCACTTGGCGCGGAAATACTTGGCGGAAGCCGTGCTCGAAAATGATCGCGCCAGGCTCTACTGGGACCGGGACATCATCATCACAGACAGGACTATTCTTGCGAATAAGCCTGATGTTGTGCTGATGGACCGGGCACGGTCAAGAATATTTTTGGTCGACCCATTCCATATGACGACTACCTCGTGAAAGCCGAAACAGATAAGCAAACAAAATATATGGTCCTGGCTCACGAGGTGACTGACATGTGGGGTGGTCTGCCGACCGAAATTATTCCTGTAGTCGTCTCTGTGAACGGGTTACTGCCAGTCATCCTCACGGGTCATCTGAAGCGACTGGGACTCCGTGACGGTCTGCTCCGGGCTCAAATGCAGAATGCGGTTCACGTCGATACCGCCCGCATCGTTTGCCGGTTTCTTTCTTTTTTCCCCCTAACCCTCGGCCGTTTGTCCTCCCATGCCGAGGGGATTCACCTGGTTGGGCTTTTATTTATTTATTTATGTTAGTATATAAAATGTATATTTAAGTTTATTTATCATTTCCTTTTAAATATTTATTCAGCCCAACCAGATGAGAATACTCTATGAATACCCCGGTTAATAATATCAGCAAGAATATTACTTTCCGTGAGTGATGTGATGTCAAAAAGAATTCCGACCCATAGTATGCTACCACAGGTACTGAAACAACGCTAGTTTTCAGTGGACCCCGGAATCCTGAGTTACTATGTCCTCCAGCGATTCTGCCTTATGGACTATATCGTCGGCAAAACGAAGGTGAGTGATGAACTCGCCATTTATGTTAATACCGTATCCTTTCTAGTTCAGTGGCGTGAAAATGTTTTCCAATGCTGCGGTGAAAAGTTTCGGGGATATAACGTCATCCTGTCATACAACTCTGCAGTTGGGTAGGTTTCGTACACGGTTCTGTACTCGAATAGCCATCGTAGCCATACTGTATAAATACTTCAGCACTTCGGTATACTGACAGTCAACTTGGCTCTTGGCTGTAGCACCGCCTAAATTTCGACTTATCAAAGGCTTTTTCATAATCCACATACGTAAGACAAAGTGGCAGATCTCTTCGGTCTTCTGTACAGTTTACCCAAAGGTTTGCATGTGGTTTATGGTACTAAAGCTTTTTCGGAAATTCGCTTGTTCTGGAGGCTGGAAGTCGTCGAATCTACCTGCGAGACGATTCTTAATGACTCATAAAACAGCACGTAGACGCGGCTCGGAGGAAATCGGTCTGTTGTTCTTCAACAGAGCGTTGTCGCCTTTCTTAAAGAACAAGACCACTGCGCTTCTACTTTACGCCTCCAGAGCAGTCACCATGGAGGACGGAATTGAAGAGCTTCTGAAGGACTTCAAGTACTGGTTTTGACTGCAGTTCACACACACCACACACACGCTTTGGACTTTAGGATAGGCTGTAATAATTGAATTAATGGAATACAGAATTTGCTTTTATCAATATGGATATTTTTTATATAGAACAAGGGTGACAAACGAGCACACAGTCCACCTGATGGTAAGTGTATGCTGTGGCCCATAGACATCTACATTCATCCTCGATTACGAATTAAAAATGCAGATGCGTTGCCACCCGTAGGGACTAAGATGGAATGCCTCGTTTTCCAGTAAAAAGGGTCTCCGGTTCTCTACACTCACCATAGGAAACACAGCGGCATAGAGCTGCTATTTTAC